GTAGCAAAGTGAGTGTAATGTAACGATGCAGAGTTAAGTATTTGTAGATTTGCATTCAGAAGTTAATGGTCCTAATCCTTGCTTTCACAGTGCTTGTATTTGCAAGTCAAAGTACAGTGGATCTTAGCCAGATCTCAATCGTGAATTAATGCATGTGTTTGATGTTATGCTGCTACTATGTTAATTGTGCAATCTATTTTTATTTCCTTTTTGGCCTATAGACACAAACTTTAAAAACAGAGCTTGCGGCCTGTGTCATCTATAACTCAAATAAAGTTATAACTGTAAAAAAAAAACATATGACTGACTCTCACTTTTGTTCTGCCTGAATTCGATCCCTGATCGGATGAAACAAAGAAAAAGAGAAAGGTGCACCAAAAACAATCATCAATAAATAATGATGTCATTATATGCATACATACATTCACGCACACACAAATGCAAAGACTTGAGTTGCAATGCTCACACAAGCATACACTGATTGTCAAAGTTATCTGCCAGCCTTTTAAATACTGACTAGTTTTAATTAGATGATGTGACGAGGAGGTTTATGTCTTCTATACCTTAAGATCTCTTCGGTAACTTTCTGCTTTCCTGTAATGTGAAAGAAAAGCTAGATGCAGAAAATTGACCGGTGAAAAATGAATTGGATGATTTTTGATGCCCCCTTGTGGTGAACCTCTGACACAACAGCTTGTGTGAGGAACTAGATTTCCAAAGTGTTTAGCGGCTACTAAGTTGTCTTATTTCGAATAAATGGCACAATGTGGCAGAGGCAGAAGTTGTTGTAAAATGCAGATACCTCAATATGCATTTATAATCGAAGGAAACTACCTATTTACTAATTTACCATGGCCTTAAAGTAATCGGAATATCTACACACACAAGTTAAATTTGAATCTGAAACCTGCTAATTTGTCCATGCTGCACTGTACTGAGCAACCTGTGGTCCCTTTAATACATTTGATTTAAAGTATATATTATCAGACTACCCTTAACCAAATGCTTAAAACCAGATCATTCCAATCACTTCTGTATTGAAATGCAAGGTTTAAAAAAATGAAAAGGAAGTGTCAAGAGGCCAGACACTGACATTTCATATTCTTGACCTGCATGGCTAAAATCTAAATTATATAAAACATGCTCTATTTGTATAAAAAGAGAGAAGTAGCTTTTAGCTTTTTAGATTCAGTGTGACTTCATCTCATTAGCTTTATTAGCATTGGTACTAAAATGTTGAAATAAATATATTAATTTCCTGGAAATCCAACAAAACAAATAACCAACTGATAAATTATCATCTAAAAATGAACCTACATGTTCTGAGGGTGTGAGCAGTAATACATCTCCTGTGATACGTAATTCATTTTTTTTATACTTTTGAAAATGAAAAATAAAATAAAACAATTCAATTAAAAAATGAACCACTAAACAATGACAACTTTTATTCAACTTTTTTGACTGCGGTCTGCATTCCCCAGACTGTGTGTGGTGACCTGATGAAGCAGCACGGAGGGCCAGAAGAAAGAAAGACACACACACACACACACACACACACACACACACACACACACACACACACACACACACACACACACACACACACACACACACTGCAATCAGCAGGAGGAAATTCTGCCTCATCTTTATTTGATACAACAGAGATTGTACAAAGCAATGTGTTGATTCAGCTGCTCCGCTACACCCCGCTTCGCTCCATGATAGCTTTCTGACATATTCTCTTTCCCAATTTCTTTGTTTCTGAAAGTGTTACAGACATAATCGGAGACTTTGATTGGCTACATTTGGTGTTTGCATGAAAAAATAAGGAATCGAGACAGTTTGAGTTTTATTTACAGAATAATTCAATTCGTCAGCTCTTGGCTCACTTGTCATCTCTTTCTCCAAATACACAAAGTTGTTGTCATGTGGGGACCCTACACTTACAGTAAAGGATCCATTTTTTTAGTGTTCTCAGATAATTTCTTGAAAATCTTACGTAAGAATATTGTAAGAATCATTATCTTTTACCTGGAAGTTTCCATCAGGTCTGAATGAAGCTCTCTTGTGTGCTGACTGACTGAATCTCACTCACTGCTACAGACACTAACAACCTGCTGTTAGACCTTCAGTCTGACTGTTTATGGACAAACAGCACAAATACCATCATAACAGAGACTGTGTGTGTGTGTGTGTGTGTGTGTGTGTGTGTGTGTGTGTGTGTGTGTGTGTGTGTGTGTGTGTGTGTGTGTGTGTGTGTGCGTGTGTGTGTGCATCAGCTAACCTACATTGTTCAGTGTGTTCTTTAAGATGACCTTTAGTAGATAATGAATTACTTATGATGAATTCACTGATCACTATCTCATGACACTTTAGTTAAAGTATTACAATAGAAGTTAATTAGTCACAAGTTAATCATGTGACTTTAGACTTTACAACTTTTGAACCATTACAAGCGACCTACAACTAACCCCTAGTTTTTTCCACGGCGAGGGGGGTCAGTGCTGCATCGAGCATCAGTTGTTTGTTCTTAACAGACAAAGCCAGAGTCTACCTGCCACATTAAAAATAAGAAAAATAAAGTTTGCACTGGAGTGAAAACACAATTAACGATTACTCCTAACATCCACGAAGATATATGATATTATTTATAACACGTCCTGCTGAAAAATGTGCTATGTCACTACAGGAGGTATGTCTGAGTGACACAATTCACAAAGCTGCATTTTAACTAGAGAAAAAAATGTCATATTTAGCAAAAGATTATTTTGCATAATAAAAATAATATCGTTGTAATATCTTGAAAATCCCTCAGCACTGGGGGTGATGTATGGTGTGTTGTCAAGATATATAATATTTGAACAGATATATCCTTTCTCCTTCATACACTGGATGAAATACCACCCTCAGCATCCTCTCGCTATGTTCTCTGGCGCCTGTAATTGTATCAGTGACGAGCTATTGACATGGAACAAAGTGACCTTTATTTAACCTCTTATTAACAAACTGACGCAGCGACAGCGCACAGACACGGTGAGGACAAAGAGCGTGTGTGTTATTGACTCTAAACAAGAAAACGTCATCTTAAGGGACCTATTCTATTATTTCAAAGTTGTGTGGAGACGAAGATTTGCTATCCATGGAAGTAAGTCAATTCACATGAATGTGAGAAATGTGTTGGGGATAAGTGAGAGACTGTATGTTTTATCTCTTGTCTGTCTCTCTTATGTCATGACTATTTGCCACTCTATCGGCTGTCAAATTATTGTGTTATCATTTACACATACACACACATAGAACTACAGAGTCTGTGTCTCCTCTCCTGCACACAGGTTATATGAATCATATAAGTCTTCACAAAGACCCTCCGACATACATTGTAGGGAATATGAATCAGTCAGTTCCTTTTCATGATGTTAAAAAAGTGTATTTATTGTGTAAGTCCGCCTAAAACTGGACCTTTAAAATGCATGTAAGCACATTAGTCCAACTGAAATCATATTAAGTCGAATTTCCAAAATGATGCCATTGGGGCTCGATTTGCTTTTGCATACGCTTTAATCGGACTCAAACAGATATGAGCGTTCACATGTTCACATGCACATGTGTCTTCTGCCTTCGTATTTCATACTTTCACCACTTGACATACAACCAGTTTGCCTCTTGCAAACTTAGAAAGGTCAACCTGATGAAGGTCTAATGGTAGTTTAAAGGAGGCAGACCGCAACCTATCACAGCAGAGCGGACATACTTCTCTCAATAAATCAATTCTGCCTCAGAGCTTTGATAATGGATCAAGAATAGTGGTCCATTTGAATGACCTAATCGAGCTATAACAATAGCGAGACTTAACTGTGCATGTGAACATACTGATTGATGTTGAATGATGTACCACACATTTATCGTTTCGTTTCATTGCCATCTTGTTTTGGTGCCAGAATGACCATATAAGATTGGGGGTATATAACTATATAAAGATGTAGTTATTAAGTTCATGCCATAAGCTGACTAATAAGCTAGTGAGGTGCAGTGTTTCTCACGGAATGATATTTTATTCATGGTTGGTTGTTGCTGATTTAACTTTTAAATTTATTAGGCTTTTAAGAGAACTTGCTTCTTACTCCATAACTCATCTAGGAGCGGTATAGAGAGGGAAGAACACAAATCTGGTAACGTAAAACCAACAGGATCTCATTATGGCCTGCTGTCATCTCTAGTTGAGCCAGTAACATCCCTGACTCCCATGAAAGAAAAACAATACACAAGCTAATAGAGAGGTACAGTAAACCAATTAGAGCTGAATAATGAAAACTAGAATTGACTCAGTGAGTAAATTGATGTAAAGCCTTTTTGGATACCGGTAATCTTTTAATACAATTAGGAAAATGGCATATTGTCTGCATTATGCAAAACCTCAAAGCTTAAATCTTAAACCTCGATATGCTTTAAACTGCTGAGTGAAAAAAAGATGTATCCACTACCATGAATGGAAAAAAAAAGTTTTACAAACAAAAATCTGATTTTTCTACCCGGTATTAAACCTTATTACTTTATTAAAACATTGACCTCTATGGCAACTGGCTCACTTTAGGAGCCAGCCTCAAGTGGCCAATCTTGGAACTGCAGTTTTTGGTACATTGGCTTCATTTTTCAGCACCAGTTAATGCAGCTTGATGTGAATCAATCCAGGTAGTTTAATTAACCCCCTCCCTCCTGACCATGGTTCATTAACAAATAGAACTGCCTGTCAACCATGAGACCAACACAGTTCAGTCTTAAGCTCAGAGAGAGTAGCACTGTGGAGATACTTGACATGGCCTCAAAGATCAGGGAGACAAACTAAGTGTATCGTGTGTATATAAAAACGGCTTCTCCGTTCTTCACAGGCACACTCCCTCATGTTTATGGAACAACATGGTTTCCTATATAGGCTACAACATTCACATGCCCATTCTTAAGTTTATACCCCAAACAAAGAGGAGGAGCAGGAGTTTCTTATTCAGGTGAAATATAAAAATGCTCACTTTTGACCAGGCATTGTCTTGGGACATTCACACACACTCCTCAACTCGTCAAACGTCTGCTCAGGTAAGCACAGGTGAGGTGGAGAGAAGGAGGATGGCAGTCTGGGTTAAGGGTCAAGGTCATCTTTCTTTTAAATCTTTTTACAATTATCGTGTAAACTGGAGGTTTTAGTGAGGATAGAGCTGTCAACAGGAAGAGGCATGTTGAGGAATTTATAATAAAAAATGATCTTTTGAATTACTCTGGGAAATTTCTAGGAACAGGCTTTGTAAATTTGCTGATAGGCTATAAATGATGTAGTGTGTGGTAACAGTTTACATGCTCCATACATGTCCCTTTACAAATGAGCATGAAACGAATTTGAGTATGGAACAGCAAATAGTTCCTCCATTTATATCGTGAATGTGATGCTTCTTTTTTTATAATATATTACCTTTAAAAGGGCAGATTTCTTGTCCATGTGGATTTGACAAATGAAGCATTTTGCTATCTTTTAGTTTCACATTTCTTTGATATTGGGTATTTTCCATACTGGATAAGAATGTAGTTCTCTTTCTACCCGTTTGACAGACAAATGACTATGTACATTTTGACCTTGGTAAATGTCATGCTAACTGATAGCTGTGGAGATTGAGTCTGTTGTGACAGAGGACAAAGGCCACAAGGAGGAAGTGACACAAACTGCACGATAAAGAGTCTCTGTATTATCTTGGTTTTCATTTGACGTCCATGTCTTGAAAATGTGGTGCAAAGTGTGAATCTTTGCAAGAAGTTATAAAGATAGATGCTTCACCTTTGATCTTCTGAACATGCGTTAAAACAGTATATGTGTGTGTTTTATACTGTCAAGTTCCCTATGCAGCTGCTGTGCAAAACTTGGGACAGATGGGGACGATTTTTTTTTTAAGGAATAGAAACTAGCATTAAGACAGAGAGAAACACAGTTAAAGACAGTGAGGGACTCAGAATTCAAACATGCTGTGAATCTCCCCTCCACAGAGGCCCAAGGGTGTCCAAGGTCACTTAGAGGTTACAATGATGACACTGAAAAGTCATTTTGCTTGTCACTTTGTTTCCTAAACTTTTGGACATTTGCTAGGAAATATAATTTATGTTAAATAGAAACACAAGGAAAGTTCAGTCAGTGAAATGTATATGTATATAACTTTATGCTTTGTAAAAAAATGATTTCAGGACTGAACATTTTCTTTTGTCAATGTGTTAAGTACATTACAATTGCAGAAAAACACTAAAAAACGTTGATGTGACGATGTTAATATTTTGAAATTCATATCAAAAACATCTCATCTGAAGTAGAAATCCAGAGAAATACCCTGAGGCGATTCTGAAAAGCACATGACTCGATGTGAGTGGTGTTTGAAGGACAGTTTTCCGGTGACCTGCTGCGTTTTGCCCCAAGACAAAAATGATCAGCTGTTTACTCTCCAAACACCCAGAATGCATCCCTGCTGACGAGACATTGACCTCTCACACAACAAGGACACTCCTCCTGGGGAGAGAGAGAGATGTGTGTATGTTGTGTAGTGTTTTCATGTGTGTATGTGTGAGAGAAAGAAGGGAAAGCTATGGGGGGAAATCAACACTGTCTTTGTGTTGTACTCTCACACAATCATGTTCTCAACTTTCTTTCTTTATCAGTTGTTTTTTCTCTCTCTGACTCTTAGTTGTGATGAAGATGGGACAACTCAATGTTTTGGCTGTTATGGCAGGTAAATAAAGTCAATTTTAGAAACGTTTGGCCATCAGTGTGCAACAAATATACAATTTTTACCAGGAAATGAGAAAATCTGTGAATATACAACATGTAAGATTTTCCCATACAAAAGTGGTTAGTTCCATAAACTCAAGTGACTTTATACAGTGTTGTAATGAACATATAAGGGAGAACATTTATAACCAGACATAAGATTTTATTTATCAACTTAATATATAATTTGTCTTGAACTGAATTTTTCAACACAGAATCTAACTGATCCGAGAACTTTTTTAACACTGGAATCCTTTTTTTTTTTTTTGTCTAATTAAAATCTGACAAAGCACCATTATTTTTATAAAGCGAGATACACACTTTAACAGACTACAGCTAAACAAAATTAAAATGTGTTTTTTTTTCTTTATTGTCTTGCAGTACTCTTCTCTCTTTTCATGGAAACTGAAGCAAGTAAGGCCAAAACTCAATTTTCCCCTAATTCTGTTCTTAGAATGGTTGGTCAAGAAACTGGTTTGGGAAGAATTTACATTAATTAGCTTCTTTTGTCCAAGTAACAATGACCTCTTCTCTAGAATTAAACTGTCTTTTGCATTGCTTGGCCTGCAAACCTCTGAATACCTTTGTAGGATGAAAATGTTTTGAGATGGCCTCCTGAGTAAAGAAATACTTTGTAATAAATGTTTAAAAGCACATAAAGGTATTTCAGGAAAATAATCCAATGTGCAGTAAGGGCTACATTATATATTTTAAACTCAGTATTTTCTCGGTGTAAAGGGTTAAAATCTTTATATCAGTAGGAAGTCCTTTATCCCTTACTTATTTGACCTCATCTTGTGTTTCCTTTGCAGATCCGTTTATTTACAGTAAGTACAGACAATTCTATCTCCTAATTCTTAAAATCAAATGCAGTACATCATGTCACGTATTGTGTGTTTAAGCCAACATGTGTAACAAAATCAGCCACAGCAAATGTGATTGTTCAAAAATAGTGTAGAAAAACATATGCCTATAAACAACAGATTCAAATGTTTATGATAACTTTCATAAATAATTTTAGCATGTGTTTGAATTAAGTACTTTTTATCTGCTTGTCAAATGCATCATCTAAACATCTGCCATTATCACCTTACAGACTATGAAAGGCTACGAATCGGAGGCCTGATCTGTTCCTGCCTGTTGTTTGGTGCAGGACTCCTAGCTATCCTTTGTAAGTCCTTAAACCACTCAGATAGAACATAGATAAATCAGTGGTGGAAAAAGCTATTAGTTGTAATTGAGTCAGGGTTGAAGTAAAATGCATTAGTTGATTACAATAGTCTTGTTGTTCAGAATAATGATTTTAAAAATATCAAATAACAGTGTATTAATGTGTGTAAAACCATTTCACATTGTCTCCACAGACACGAGGTGCAACAGGAAGCAAAAGTAGGTTTTTCTCTCAAACACGTTTTAAATGTTTTGTATTTTGTCTATGTCTTAACCTTGACATGAGACTTTCTCCCCTCTTTGTTGCTCTCTTTTCCCTCTTGTCTCTTTGGCTTTTATTCCCCCACAAACCGCCTTGCTTACTCCCTCCGTGCCCTTTTCTCTCACCTTGTAGGAAAGCAGAAGATGACAACAGTGAAATCTGATATGGTGCCTGTCAAACTGGTTTCGGGCCCAGAAGAAGAGCTGACATGCAAGGGGTGGAGAGAGAGTTGGTGGTTTGGTGGGGGGTTTGGAGGAGACACACCCTTTCAGGTGATTTAACCTGAGCGGACCTGTGCAAAGAGTAACAGTTTTTTTTGTGTGTGTGAAAAGAAAAGCAGATAAAGAAAATCAAGCCCTCTTAAGTCTTCAAAATGTATTCCTGTTGGTCAGATCTGTACTGATATGCAAATGATGTTCATTTTTATTCATGTAGATGCTTATCCCTGTAAACACACAAGTACTGGTACACTATTTTACATATCCATATATTCTGCTTTGTGTAGGCATCACCATAATATTGCATAAAGCCAATGAAAGATGAGATCATTAGGAGCATGTGGTGTTAATTGCATAATGAACTGTAGTAAGATTATCCATGTGGTCAACCATTTCAATATTTACATTTCTACACCAACAATTTGTTAGAAACCTTAGGTGTGCACGTGTACAATTAAAATAAATGTCACTATGTCAAAACCAAACTGCAGCCTAATATTCACGTGTTTTATCATTTCTGTGAATAATGTTAATTAAATGGTAGTAGCCTACTCGATGGCCTTTAATGACCTTCACTTGGGCCTATAACTGATAGTGGCAGGCTATTGGTAGTACTGATAGCAAACTATCAGTGTGGCTGCAGTAAATATAATTAAACATTATTAAGCCAAGGAATGCTGGCCTATAGGCCTGTTGCTGTACTAAAATAACTATAGTCCTATGTAATTGTCAGTGTCTCTGTTATTCTGCCTTTAATGTTACCAGCTCCTAACTCATGTCCATCAACTCGTCAAATTTCGACATCTTCGTTCTCGACAAGCAAACATTAATGCTCCGCTCCTCCTCCTCCCGGCTCTCACTGCTGACTCTGGATCAGCATCCGTCTCCTCTTTTCAACTCCACCTCAGCTGCCAGCATAATGGCAGAAACCGACCCTGGATCAGCATCCGTCTTACGACGCTTTAGCATTTTAAACTCGGCCCCCTTTTCAAAAACCAAGCCAACCTGTTGAGTGTCTCAGTGGATAAGTCTGGGTGTTGGCGCACAGAGCGGAGAGAAGTCGATGCCTCTGAGTCAGATATCCGCCTGCTTTTGAGAAATCTCCCGTTTCCCCCCTCTGACACACACAGCGTTTGTTTTAGGTAAGTGCTGAACAAAGCAATTCGCTCACACATGTTAGAACTTTGTCTCTTAAAGCGTTTTTTCTGTAGTTTATTTAAGGAAATTGTACAGAAAGTTCAAGTTTTGCAAATCTGCCCGTGAGCATCTTAGGGAAGTGAAGAAGGGTTTCTGCTCACGTTAAACGGACACATTCAGGCCAGCTTACACGCAGTTTCGTTACCGATGCAAAAACTGAACTTAAAATCTCTGTTAATGAAACTGATTTGCTTGTTCAGCTATATTTTATATTAAGGTTATTCTTTTTTTTTCCTGGAGAAAGTTGAAACTTTAAAAGCGAAAGAAGAATACACCATATGTCACAATAAACTAATAATGTAATTTCTCCTGGTGATACCACCGTGCGTAATGGCTGGATAGTCCTCATTCACGCGCTCTGATCAGCATGTTCATGTCAACGTTTTTCCAGCCTTAAATCTCAAAAAGTTTCATTAGTTCTAGCCCTACCTTAAAACTAGCAAATAAGAGAGAGAGAGAAAAAAAGTAGGCTGAATGTGGCTCTTTAACAGCATATTTAGTAGGCACAGAAGCAGAGGACATGTGGTCTATAGTGTGAGGGGCCAAACTTCAAGACCAGTGTTATCTCTCACACACACAGGAGGCTTTCAGAGAACACAGGGTGTAGTGGAATGTGTCCATTATTGTCATACACTCCTATGCTTTATTGAGCACATGTGTGTGTGTGTGTGTGTGTGTGTGTGTGTGTGTGTGTGTGTGTGTGTGTGTGTGTGTGTGTGTGTGTGTGTGTGTGTGTGTGTGTGTGTGTGTGTGTGTGTGTGTGTGTGTGAGTGAGAAAAGGCCAGTTGATAAGAGCAGGGGAGATAAGAGTTTGCTACCATGTGGCACAAGGACAGATTGGGACAAGGGCAGATACAGTATGATGTGGTGCACAGTGGAACTGTAAGGGACAAAGGCCTTAAAATATTGATTATTTGGGGAATTCGTATTTAAAACAACTGGTTAACCTATCAGCACTTTTTCGATAATCTGATTTAAACTTTCCAAATACTCACAAATGATCAAGGTTGGGGAGCAGTAATCTGAAAGATTTCTCTTCCAGGTGAAAGGGAAGTTAATCGTTTTTACACCGTTTGTTGAACCGACTTTTGAAACAACTGATTGTTATTAGTTTGTCCTTAAGCCATATTCAGACTGTGAGTACTTACACTACAAGTAATATCAGAATATAATCTCCTTTCCTCGTAGAGTCAATTAGCAAATGTGTATCTCATATATATACTGGAGGCCCAGGTTGAATAGGCAAGAACACACAAGTTGTAAAATATTGATTATTTTGAGCATTGGTGTTGCAACTGTTTGCAGCTCTCTACATTCTGCTTATCTTGCAATGAATATAGCAGCTGCTTCAGATAGCAGCTGCTGGAGTATGTATTAGCATCATTAGCGTTTTAAGGCAGAATGGGAGGATTACAGCTACCTAAATTAGAGGGACAGAAGTCCTTTTTAGAATTAGTTTTGAATATTACTGTAGGTTATATCATAGAGCAAAGTCATTTAGCATAAGATACATTTTCTCTTCTTTGCATACAGGAGTTACATAATGATCTTGACAATCTGCCAAACAAATAAACATTTACATTTTAACTCTTGCAACATACTTATAGTTTTAAATGTATCTTTAAGATTTAAATACTAAATACCCAAATGGGTGTTTTACCCCTACATACTGGAAGAATTGTTTCAGTTACTAATGATGTATGAATGTTATCTGTACTTTATGACAGAAAATAACAGCTCATAAAATAATCAACTGAACATTTAAGACGAAAGCACACTGAACGATACCTCACACATTAAACCACCACTGGAGAGAATAGAGAGGCAGAGAGGTTACAGGGTGAGAGACAGAGGTGGTGACAGACAGACACAGAGTTGTCTTTCCTTTGTCAGTCGAAACAGCTCGTCCTCATCTCTCCTCACATGACAACAGTTCTTAAAAAAGAAAACAAACAAGAGAGGGAAACAGTTGAGAGAGAAGGACTATAAGCGCCCTTAGGAGAGGCACACTTTCTCCTCAGCTTTCCACACATCATGAAACACAGACTTTTAGAAACCTTGAGTAGACATCGATTTTGTTCCAGACGTGACGGTGACCTTCAGTGCAGTCACTATGAAACCACAAAGGTTAGCAGAGACAAGAATGGGAAGATTTGACTTTAAGTTTAAGTCCTATTGATGTCCTTTTTAATAAGGGCAGCCAAGAACTTTATTAGTGTTTCATTTGATGTTACACTGTAACTATGAGCATTATTGAAAGGGTTAATAGTAGTTCATCTTACAGTCCCAAAGTAGCACTGGGAAGCAATGCAGAGAAACTGTTCAGTGTTTTTACCAGGCTTAATCAGAGGTGTCAAAAGTATTGACATTCATTACTCAGGTAGAAGTATAGATACTATAGGGTTTAAAAAGACTTCTGTAGAAGTTGAAGTATCAACTCAAGCTTTTTACTCAAGTAAAAGTGTAAAAGCACTGGTTTCAAAACTACTGAAAGTATAAAAGTAAAAGTAATGTAAGGGGGAAAAAAATGCCATTAAGGACAAAAGCTTAGGCCGCGCCACAGTGTGTAGGAATGGTATATGTTTATACCTGTCATCCAACCACAATCAAATTCACTCTATCCAGATGGCGCGATTTATCTGGATAGGTTTTTTTTTGTGTGTGTGTTTTTGAATGAAAACAAGCCGAAATGAAATAGGAGTAACGAGGCTATTTTTAAAATGTAAGTAGTAGAAAGTACAGATAATTGCATGAAAATGTAAGAAGTAGAAGTAAAAAGTCAGCTGAAAAATAATTACTCCAGTAAGTAAGGTAAGGTAACAAAGTATTTGTACTTAGTTACTTGACACCTCTGGGCTTAATCATCATAAAGTTTGGACCGTCTTGTTCATAGTACAGAGCTCCCTGTTTATGTTTTCTTAAGATTTAGACAGCTTAGGGACAACTAACCCTCAGTTACATTACCATCACTTTTTATTTTATTTAGAACTATGATTTAAGTGATGAGCAGCCCACCACAGAAAACAAGTGGGCCACTGGCAGCTCCATGCCTGCCTTTTGTTTTTAACAATAGGCTATATAATTAGCGAGTACTTCTTGGTAATAACTGGAGTACTCAAATTACTTTAACTCTTCTACACAGTTGATTATTCTGAATTTTTACCAGCTCATTGCTTCTTTGTTTTATACAAAACTGTTATCCCAGAGGAACAGTTTTATTATTATGTCAATATCTTGGAAGATTATTTTACGTTTATTAGACAAATGAATAGTTTTATGTTCATGAGGTGAGGTGAAATAAGGGAAATGTAGTCCATCCTTAAATCCACTGTTGATGACTGGGGAGTGAGTAGCATGCAGCCTGTTGCTAGCTGCTAGCTGCTCACTGCTAAACTTGTGGTTTCCAGGTGTGACTCATGGCTCTAGTATGCTCCACTCCCTTTTACCCTTCGTCTGTCTCTTTGTGTCCTTTCTCATTCCCTCTCTTTCCCAACCACACTCTCCCTGCCGCCTCCTCCTCTCATCCCCCCTAGGCTTGAATATCTCTTTTCTCTCCTTCCCTCTTGAACTCGTTCTTATTTCCAATCTTGATGTTTTGTTTTTACTTCCCTTTTCTTCCTCTTTTTCCGCTCCTCTTTCAGTGAGCTGCTTTCACCAATTCGTCCTTCTCCTGCTCTTTTCTGTTCTATATCTATTTATTTTTTTCCTTTTTACACATTGATGTTGTCAGCTCTTTTGCTGGACCAAGACATCATGTTCTGTAGTCATAAAAGACTAATTTCTCAGTGCATGGGTGAAGTAAGCCGGAACAAGATTGACTCAGTCTCAGCTGACCAAACCTCTGGTGTTAAAAAAACTGCAGTTCCTAGAATCTGACTCCAAAAGCCCCGGAAGTCTCAAAATCCACATTTAGACGGCAGAAATAAACATATTTACAGCCTGATACAAAAAAACATTTTTGTTGTGAATAGTTTATGTCTATATCAACACACACTTTGTTGTGGGGGGGGGGGTTACCTGAAATCCAGGCGCACTGTTCAGTAGCTGTTTGCCACAAGGCTAAAGGCCCCGCCTCAGCTCCAGCACTTTTAATGTTACTAGACTGACCCAAAGTAAAGTTGAGACAGCATTCATTTTCAGTATGGTGACCGTTAGGCCTGGGCAATAAATAGAGTTTTTAGATATATTGATATTTTTTCAAATGAGATGTAGTCTATCAATATAGTTCATGTTGCATTAAAATGACATTATATCTTTCTTCCATAGAGCCACCAGTTCACCTAATTCATCTCCTCTCCTTGTCTGCTCCTCTTCTTCCTGCTCCCTCCTCCCTCTCTGAGCAAAACGCTAAATACTTCCTGCAATAACAAGGTCCACAACATTCAGCGTTTTGTTATACAGGAAAGGATATTTGTGTTGATGTGTTTTTTTATTTAAAGGTACAGTCAGTAGCTTTTACCTAAAAAGTAATGCGTCTTATTCATCACTTCTGGGCCTCCATACATGACTGTGTCTGCAGGACCCTGTCCTCTGTCTGTGTTTCAATGTTTTGTTTTTGTTGACTTGGGAGGTTTCTGACCCAGAAACCTCCCGAGTCAACAAAAACAAAAGCTTGGGAGCAGCGCCCAGGTTCAATGATTGGATTCAAACAGCCAAATATGACGGACGCGGAAGTAGCAGCAAGCATGTTGTGTGTTGAGTGTGTTTTTTTCCAGGACACAGGAGGCTTTCCTCCTGCTGTGTTTGTCTGTGTGACATAAAGCATGTGTTGCACACTGGAATCCAGTAGAGCTAATTTTGGAATAAAAAATGCCGCTGAGAATAGGCAGCTGTCTTTGTAGTGTTAAAAGGAACATTCAAACACACACACACACACACACACACACACACACACCGGTGTCCAGCAATCAAACAGGAAGGTGGGGCCAGTGTTGGAAAAATAGAAATAGTGCCTAAGTCACACAGACATGTTGTGCACATCACATACCATAACAGTCACCATATTTAATCTCTCATTGTTGGGAATCCAGACACAGCAATATTCAGATGGCTTCTTGGTGCTTATTGGTCCCAGTCTGGTTGAGCAGTTTTCAGAAAGTATTTAACTGTGAGGTGAAGAAGAGTTGTTCAAAGGACTTGACTGTGTGTGTGTTTCTGTGTGTATTTGAATGTGTGCTGTCCCTTTATTTAACAACAAGGCAGTAAACACATATCTTACATTCAAAGCCAGCTTGTGTGTGTGTATGTGTGTATGATTGTGTGTATGTGTGTATGATTGTGTGTGTGTGTGTGTGTGTGTGTGTGTGTGTGTGTGTGTGTGTGTGTGTGTGTGTGTGTGTGTGTGTGTGTGTATGTCTGCTTGTGTCTGTGTGTATATATCCAAGTATGGAGCCATGCTGATCTTTTGGCCTGATTCAAAACAAGTACTTCTGATATTTCTATTCCAATTTCTATTTGATGTTTGCAGCATTAATATTTAAACATCTTAAAAGTACCATCTTATACCTGATAATCTGTTTAATATATCGCTATATTATGGCAACTAGATTTACAATGGACAACTGTTTACAGCTAAATGTGAATATTTAAAGGTGTCTTTACTAGGAGGTATTCGTGACACATGGCTGTATTTAAGAGTCATGGCTCCTCTGGAAGCCTCGCAGCTTTTTGTTTCACACTACTGTTTAATAAAGAGTTAGAAGAAGAGTGGGATGGAGCAGAGATGATGACGTCGTATGAGCGTGAGACGAAGAAGAAGAAAGCCCGAGCTCTGGAGAGTTTGGCAGGGAAGGGATAAGTTGATGGAAAAGACTTCACAAAAGGAAAGGAGACGGGTTAGGGAGCAAGGACGTGCAGAAGTGTGTCAGTAAAGGGAAGCAGTGGAGGAAAGGTTTTAGAGGCTGAAGAGGATTTAAGGACTTTAACATTAGCAGTATGAAACAGTGGCTTCTAACAGACAACCGATTTGTAAAGCTTGTTTAAAAGAAGTAGAAAAAAGGACATAGGAAAGAATGAAAGAAGCAGAGGGAGTGAAGAGATATCAAGAGACAAAACGTAGGAAAACACTCCTACAGACAGGAAGAAAGAGAGATGCAGTAAGAGCTGAAAACAAAAAAGCGAGGGATAGTCGGAGACAGGCAGAGGAGCGTGACAGAGCCAGAACAGAAACAGGTCTTTATCCCAGGAGCAGGCGGAGCTGGAGAAGAGAATCCACAGGAAGTTTGAACTCAGGGAATGATTTTGACTGGGTATGAGCCTTCAGGAATGCATCAGCTATATTTGTAATTATGCTTTCTTTGGTATCAGACTGAACCAAACTTTTCCCCGCAACTAAGTCGGATTCTTTCTTGTTAGAAGAAGCAGTGTGTGGGGTTAAACTTCAGCTGAATTAGATCTGAAACAATTAGTTTGATCAATGAATTAAGGAAATGATTGAGATATTTCTCAATGAGAAGTGTTTCTCTGCGGCTCCGCGACCACCCTTTAATGTTGTTGCTTTAGCTTGGCTTGTTTGTTTCCCTACTAACTTTAGAACCAGACATCGGATGTGCATAGTCCTTAATATAGTCAAATCATCTCCATAACAATAGTGACAACTTTAAAATTTTAGACAGAAATCTAGTTGGAAACAGTTAAGTATCCAGCTGACCTGACAGCCTTTGCTGATAGTAAATTGATAAATGTGAGTTATACATGAAAGAAATGCACACATGTAGGCTGATGCACAAGTTTGGTGCTCATGATGGATAGGCCGGGTCTTTGTAACATAACAATGAGTAAGGTCTTTTTACCTGCTCTTTTGTAATGTTAACAGACAAAGAGTAAGGTATTTTACCTGCTTTTTGTAAAGTGTCTTGAGATAACACTTGTTATGAGTTGACGCTATTCAAAATAAATTGAATTGAATTGAATTGGTGTAGGGCTGAAGTAAAAAGCAAATAGTTAAACCTTCATTTTTTTCTTGTTTGAACTGACACAACTGTGAGTCAGGTTCAGCCCTTCTGGTTGGTGATAAAAATCATTATTTAACAGCAATGACAAGTTGTTCTATGACACTATTGTCAATTAATGTATCTGCAGCTATCAAGGTTTCTCACACGTTAAAGGCAAACTGATTCCGCAGTTACAGTTTACAATGACAAAATAATCTTGTGTTTTAGAAGCACATAGCTTTAGAAGTATTCTTTAACACAATACTTGACCAGCCAGCATGGTGCTGTGCTTTTGTCCTCTCAACTCTCCATAAACACAAGATTTGAATACAGCCCTCCAGGACTCTACTCCTGACCCCACCTTAAACTAACATTTGTTTTACAATATGATCTTCAGATAGGAGGAGGGAGGCACCACCTCTATTATACTCCCCTGCTGTCTGTTCCTCTCCATGTCATATTTACTCTTCTCCACTGTTCTCACTATACTCTTCCTCTCCACTCACTAATAGACTCCTCCTCTGTCCCTGTCCTTTTCTCTCCTGTTTCACTCCTCCATCTCCTCTCCTGAGGTAAACTTCCTCTAGTGGCTATTGGCCTGTTTCCCATCCTCTACATTCCCCCTGTCTCGGCACATGTTGCTGTGGAGAGGCACCAGGAGAGAAATACTTATCCTGCTCTTCTTCTTTTCTTCTTTTTTTTTTCAAGCTCTAAATACCAACAGCAGAGGAGGGGGCCACATTGTTTTACGTCCATTCTCTTTGATTTGAATCACTGCGACTCAAAGGTCACTTTTGAATGTGTGTCCTCACACAGAAAAGAAACTAACAGAAACTATATATTTGCAAGAGCTGAATTTTTAACATTCTTTATTGTCAGTCTGATCTTCAGAGCTTAAAGTTGAGGTGCAGCATTTTTTACCTTTAGTCTTTCTTTTCCAAAGGCACTTTCTGTGTTTCCTTGAGGTTGAACATGCTGTACATGGTTATTCATTTTCTCTGCACATTAGAAGACATATTTTCTGAACAGTTCATTGTTAGATCTATGGGAGCATGTTAGTTACGTCTTTTCACTTAATGCATTTTAGCTGCTGTGTTTATTTTGAGCCTATCAGTATACAAAAGATGAAAGAAGGAAATACTCCTGTATCATAGTGCTACAGCACATGATTATCTCTCTTATAGCTCCCAAAGGAGAAAGACATTGGACAAAGACACTAAGATGTTTCCAATTTCTAAAAAACATTTTCATAGAGCTAAAATATGAGCGAGCCAAACACCTTAGTTTCAGCAGGAGATCAGTTCTACTGACTCATCCTTTGGTACGTTATAATGCATGTTTGTATTTGTGTGAGTTTTTAACTCACACATGCCTCTGTGTGTGTGTGTGTGTGTGTGTGTGTGTGTGTGTGTGTGTGTGTGTGTGTGTGTGTGTGTGTGTGTGTGTGTGTGTATGCCAGTTTGAAATGTGCTCTGGTGTGTTTGCTCTTCACTATGGAGCAGTCTAAGTGGAAAAGTGCAGTAAGTGGAAAATCACTGCTGTTGTTACTCAAGGTGTGTCTCCTCCATGTGGGCGTGTCCTCTCCTCCCGCTGCTGCTGCTTTTTAACATGGCAACGAACACAGCACGCACACACAGCAGCTTTACTGGGAGTGTGTGGATATTGGGAGTTAGACAGTGAGTGGGATGTTATCTGCAGCTGACACGAGATGATAGAAATAATATGGTTATTGTAAATGTATGTGTCAGTGTTGAGAACTGTCTCTGATGATAAGAGCTTTTTGTCCTTTTTAGCCATTAGCAATGATTGGGAAATAAAAATATCTTCATTGCCTGTTTGCAGCTCAAAATGCCAACCATGTACACACCAGTGTTCAATAGAAATAAGATTAAAATCCCATTCTAGACAGGAATAACTTTTAATGGGGGAGTTCTATTTGTTCATAATCACATTGGTTTTTTGTTGATGCTGTCATACAAACTGGTGGAAAATAGTACAAAGTAACCCTGAAAGCAGAAACAGGATGGTTGCAACACTTAGGTTTGAAGATGGCAACAGTGTAATGCTCAACCCGGAGAGCTTCAGTCTGCTGTTGAGGCTCCATTAGAGCACTTTGTTCCCATCAACATCAGATCAAGTTTCAGATTGAGTGTGTATGTGTGTGTGAGAGAGAGAGAGAGAGAGAGAGAGAGAGAGAGAGAGACCACCGTGTGCCTATTAGTTCATTTTTTAACTCAGTGCTGTGCTTCCAAAAATGAATGAACTGTAAAAGTGATGTGTGTGTGTGTGTGTGTGTGTGTGTGTGTGTGTGTGTGTGTGTGTGTGTGTGTGTGTGTGTGTGTGTGTGTGTGTGTGTGTGTGTGTGTGTGTGTGTGTGTGTGTGTGTGTGTGTGTGTGTGTGTGTGTGTGTGTGTGTGTGTGTGTGTGTTTCAGTCATTTTAGTGCCCCTCATAAAACACAGGAAGGCCAACTATTGCAGCAGCTCTCTGTTGATTCTGGAGCCAGTTACGACTATAGTAATCAGCTTTCCAACATTCACATCAAAATATGATTATTTTGCCATCGGGACTTGAGATAATGTTATTTAGTCCATGTTAATCTCCGTTCCACTAGCCTGCGAGTGCATCACAGTTTGCAGTAAAACTCAGTCAACAGTTCAAGCATGAGTGAAAAACAAAGGCACGGTTTTGTTAATACAAGTGTCAATATTTTAATCACTGATTTTTCTGTTGTAGGTAACTATTACTGTATAGATGAATAATACTGTTCATCTAATCAGTGTCTATTTATCCCCTCAGGCACAAAAAGCATCACAGGTGAAGATGGCAAAGATCCATGCGTTGGTGTTTATGACCCGTGAGTAAAACCTTTTAAAGACTTCATTTAATCACAGTTTTCAGCAAGAATTATTTCATTACATTATTCATGTATTTATATAGTTCAGTATAAGTCAACTATAAGCAACCTTATACTAAACTCTGTCCATTTTATGTCTCTCAGTTTGTGGGACCTATGTGTTCTCAGACGACACAGTTGTAGCGGTCCTTATTAAAGGCTTGGACCAAAATACCTGAAGGCATTGAAATCTGACTTATAAATGATGAAGAACTTTAAAATTAATTCTGTAAAAGTGCACAAAACAGATTTTAAGAGAGTATATTTTTCATGTGATCGCATGAATCCATTACCTCCAAATAATCAAACAGCTTTGAAATATTTGTCCCTTTAAATAAAACGAGATGCCTCCCGCCGTGTTTCACTTTTGTCATGTGTCTGTCTCTCCTGCAGTCATGTCGCTGGTGTTGGCAGAAGCACAGGACGGTGAGTACACTTACAGGCTATTCTTGACCAGATCAATACATAACATTTGAAAATAATAAGAATCACGAGTCTCTAGTAGCCTTTTGCTAAACTTATGATGACAATAAAGTGTTACATAACTTTTCAGTTGAAATGTATTGATCTGATGGTCAGGTGTGTCAATCATTTGCAAGAGAATCAAACCAGGCCATTGTGTGTGGTCATCTCACTTTGTGCTGTTGACCTTACTGTGTCACAGTTTGATTTGTTGGAGTTTCTTTCACGTCCTCATTTATCTGCTGCTGTCAACTGACCCTCGCTTTTTGTCTTCCTTCAGCCGAGGATGACCCATTTACCTTTGGTAAGTCATTGCTTTACTATTTTCACTGTCATTTATCGGTTGTTGGAACTTGAAACTGCGATCTGAAACTGACTTTACACGTCTTTTTTTTTTATGCAGTTTTTATTATTTCATTACCTTTACACAACGATAAGTTATAAAATGTTTCACATATTTTTGCCCTGCAGACTACCACAGGCTGCGTGTTGGAGGCCTGATTCTAGCTGCTGTCCTCTGCCTTATTGGCATCACCATCCTGTTCAGTAAGATGCAAATTAAACAAATACAAACCCTTATCTACACATACTGTACTGAGACATAAACACACACATTCAAAAATACGCCCTGATCATATCATAAAGAAGGCTAAATGTGTCCTTTGTCTTGTTCCAGGCGGCCACTGCAGGTGCAAGTTCAACCAGGACAAGAGGTGATGCTTCATTCAGTCAAACACGATAAACTTTTGTGGAATGGAAACTCCAAATATTTGTATTTTATTGTAGATATGTAGATGTAGATATGGTTCATTTACTAAGGTCACCAAATTCCTGAGTTGTTAAATATAACATAGCTCATAGCAAACTTTTCTCTCCTCTGACACTCATTTCTGTTCTTTGCAGGAGGAGGACAGCAAGCAATGCTCAGCAGATGCTCCCCGAATAAGGTAATGTTTGTTCACCGACACAGCCATTGCAAGAAGCGTCAGGTTTTCATTCTTAAGAACGTTGTAACTTTGGAAAAATAAGGGAATATCTACACATTTGGCATAAATATTCATTTGGAATGACACAGTTTATGCTAAGGATGCCACAATGTAATACAAAAGTGTGATAGGAAAAATTATGAATTGATTAAATTTTGTAACTCTTGGGTCCTTTTCACGTTGACATCAGTCTTGAATTATTTCTTTCATTGCTTGTTTTACCCCTCTAAAAGAAAAATGTTATCTGCGCCCTAGCTGTGAAAAATCTCATATTATTATTCCCTCATGATCTGATTGTTGTGATACAGCGAGAGGGTCTTCTGACGATCACATGCGCTGCTCAGAGACACAAAGAGAATAACATGTTCTCTCACATTATGTCCTTTTTAGTAGATGAATGCGATGACAAATCTCCTGTTTGGGCCTACTGATGCTTTTTAAATTATTTCCAATATACAAATATTTCTCTGCCCCCTGTCGACACTTCAGGTCACAGAAACTCTGTAACTCACTTTGAAATACTGATGCATGTAAGCTTTAACTTGACTGATTGGAGAGGTGGTTAATCTAGTTAAAGGAACAATGTGTAACTCTGACATAAAAGTGGTACTGCTGTCCAAATTCAAAACATGAGAGAGAGCTGTCTCCACCACGTGCCCCTCCTCCCTAGAGTCGATGTGCACGCAGGTTGCCATGTTGCAGAGACGGACGCTTCAGTGTTTAGCAGCTCTGCATCTTGAAACCTTTCTACATTCTAACCTCTCTCCATTTTTCAAAAGCATCTCCAATATAATAACATTGATGCTAGTTTGACCACATGTCTGCTCGTAGAGCTTATTAGAAAATGCCAGGGCTTTTTAGGCTGGCTAGAATCAGTTATATCTAAACCAGTTTGCTTGCCTGTTTCCATCGCTGCAACAACTGTTGGTTTGCCGTTTTCCGAGGGGCATCCAAAACGGCCATGAACTGCCTCCCTTCTCTGGTCAAGGTAAAAACAAAGTAAGATGTCTTATAGGGCTGGTTAAAAAAATCAATTCATCAATGCATTGCAATTATTATTTTCCTAATTCAATATGGATTCAGGGAAATCCTGAGATCTATTTGTTCCCTTGTAATGACACCCCTCTCCACTAGCGGGCACTGTTGGTGCTGTGAAGTCAGCTCAGGCACAATGGTGCACATTACATATACTTTTTTCCATGGTATTACAGCACTATTATGTTTATTACAGTATTGCTGTATATTCAGCTCAGGCACAAATGTGCACTTTAGATCAAACTGTACTTTAATATTTTATTATTTGTTCATTAAAGATTAATGCAATGATAAAATACATTTTTTGAGTCAGTTTGTTCCAAACCTATACAAACAATGCAAGCATAATTATTGAAAAAAATACCAGAAAGTTCTGTGATGAGTTATCTGGGTATTTCTATCATCTGTTTATATCTTTAAATTGATATCGAAGCATCCCCATGAAGTAAAAGATTTCATCAGCCAGTTGACGTCTAACCAAGATCTTAAGTTATATTTATTCTGTCCATCTGTTACTGTAAACGGCCTCACACGCACTCAGACACACACACATACTGACGCAGTATGGAATGCTCCCATCGTGTTGGACCTTGCTGTTCAACAGGTGGTGGGACTCTGGGTGTCTAGCAGGAGGAGGAGGAGGGATGGAGGAAGGGGAGTAAAAGTGGTGTGTGTTTAATGGAATGGTAAAGCCATGAAAGATGCGATCTAGAGTCTGAGACACAAACACACACACACACACACACACACACACACACACATAGCTTTGTACATGTTTATATCAGCTGATGGTGGAAAGCAAAGCTTAGACACAAAACACAAGTGGTCCATGTGGAAAAACATTGTGTGTGTGTGTGTGTGTGTTTGTTTGTGCAGTACGTCAGCAACTGAGCAGCACCCTACAGGGACATACTGCAATTTCCACCTGCATTGGCATAGACACACACACACACACACACACACACACACACACACACACACACACACACACACACAGAAACAAACACACATACTCTCTCTCTCTCTCTCTCTCTCTGTCTTTCCCCTGCTCATTATTATCGAGTTTGAGGCAGTGTTTTATTAACCTCATTAAAACGATCCTGCAATAATTTATAACAATTATTTTTAGCTGAAAGTAAATAATAACTGTTACTGTTAGTATCAATATTTTGTACTTTTCATAACATTTTATTTTTTATTTTTTATTTTTTTACATTGTCAGGGCATGTTAATTTAATTTACTACCAAAATATAAAATTGAAGATGTTAAAAAAAAAATCAAAAACAAATATGGGCTGAAGAAACAGTGAACATTCTTCCTGATGATTTGGTATGAATGACTGTCAGGATGAATTAAATATGAATGAAGCTTTAAATAGAAATAAAACCTCAGTTTGAATGACATCACTAACTATGTGAATTATTATTTTAATTCATTTTTCCAGAAGTAATCCAAGAGGAACGACATCAGATGAATTCAGTGGTTGTGTCCAGTGTAATATGGTCACTGGTCACATTTGAAATGTCTTAATATGGAAACTCCCCCTCATGTCTGTTTGTCTGCAGGTCGTTCCTGTGACTGATGGATGTCAATCAGAAAAGACACACTGATGTTTGACACCTGCAACCAACAGAACACACCTGGGGGCTTGAAACATCCAGCGCAAGGATTTTTATTTCATGTTAGAGAGAAGCAGAAAGTAGTTTGTGTGTTCCTGCTGTAAGGAGTGAAGCTTTCTCCCTAATAACTGAGCTACTGATCTGAAGCATGCACACATTAGTCACTTTCATTTCAATCAACTGAACTTTTTCTGGTATTTAGATATTGAAAAGGGAAGAAAGAAAATGTCCAACCTCTTTAGAATTCATCTAATAATGGAGCATAAATGTTTTTTTTACTATTAATTGATAATCATTGTGCTTGATTGAGCTGAAAGTGACTCCAATCAATGGTAACACAAACCTTTTACCAAAAACGTCCTTGAGTATCCTCATACTGTAGCTTCAATCAGTCTCACACTACTTCTAGTGTATGTTTAAAGTCAATATTGATAAGATAAGATAAGATAAGATATGCGTTTGTTGTCCCCTTGGGGAAATTTTTCTTGGACTCCATCCAGCTGCAATTTACATTAACTGTGACCAACTTAACCCACTGACCATGCTTAAATGTCAAATGTATCAAATCCACGTAGTCATGGTCCTTAACAGAGCTGTTGTTAATACTTCATGATAATCTGTTCATCTCCATGTTTAGCTTAAAGGAGGAGTGTAGTGGATTGCACTGTTCAGAGATACACAGAGACTCTGTCATGTTTCTATAAAAGAATTATTGAAAGAAAAAAACTTTGAGAGATGGCTTTTGTTTTTGTTTGTCCATGTTTGTGTGTCACTGGTCCCATATTTTAAGTTTGAAGCTTAACACATTCTCTTCAGTTTGCAACCCTGGTAGTTAAACATCAACTTGAGTCTGGGATGAGTAAACTATTTTAATGATTGATGAACTAATGGGATCGCTATTGATTATTAATTTGTACTCCTGATAGAAAGATAAGATAATAGTTGCAGCCACTTTAATGACTTCAAGAGTCTAAGTACACCGAAACATAAGGACAAACTTCATTCAGAAAAAAAGAAAATGTAAAATATTGCTAAAGGCCTGGGATAACAGATTGGAATATAAATAATTAACTTTAGAAACCAAAAGGAATATTGCAATAAAAAATGAATTAAAGGGGACATATTATGAAAAATCCACTTTTACAGTGTTTTTGAACATATATTTGGGTAACCTGAGTGTCTATCGACCCATAAATTATGAATCCCATCCAGTCCATTGTTAGACACACACATCAGAACGGAGCTTTCTGAGAGAGCTGGTTTATACAGGTTCACAAACCTCTGTGGCTTGATTCATATTATATTCAGAGGTGTAAAGTAATGAATTACATTTACTCGCGAGAGAGAGAGAGAGAGAGATTTGATTTTTAAACAGACCTTTATTTTTCAGTCTTCTTACTGTTCAACAATAATATACATTCCTAAAATTCACAGATGACATTCACAAAATAAACAGATGTTACATCAGCACATGTCCATGAACTAACTGATCATGCTCTACAGAGCACAGCACACTGTCATGAGTCCACACTGACTGGAAAGTCTCCAGGTCCTGATTTGCTCTGTAGAAGCTGAAGTCCAAAAACAACCTGGATTTTAACATTTTTACAAACAACAGCTTCACATCAACAACATCGTCTGGCTCCTCCTCCTTCCTCCTCCTACTCACGTACACGGCCATCTTAGCCTGACCAAGGACAAAGTTTATCAGCTGACATTTGTGTTTGTGTTGTCGAGTGTATTTAAAACCACAAATAAAAACCTGCTTAGTAAAAAACTCTTTAAAACCACTAAAAACCTTCTCCAGAAGATCAGACAGAGGTTTCAGCCGACTGCACTGTAAAAAACAGTGAAACACCATCTCCCTGTGCACACAGAAAGGACACTGATCAACAACATTCACATTAAGAACAGAGATAAAAGAGTTCACAGCAATGATTCCATGCAGGATTCTCCACTGGAGGTCTGCATGTCTCTTACACAAGGGGGGTTTGTACAAAGACTCCCAGGAGGGTCTAAACTCAGGAGCTAGCCCCAAATAAGTCCTCCAGGGGGTGTCACTGCGTGCGTTCAGTGTCTTTTTATTCAAAGTCTTAACAATCAGTTTGTAAAGAGTCTTTCCTGCAGTGTCACTAAAAGAGCAGCCTGCAGCGTTGGCCAGTAGAGGACCAGAACAGTCCTTCAGGTCTGCAGACAGAGTGAACTCAGGAAACGGGTCAGTTTGGTCAGGCAGCAGAGAACCGTCCCCATAGTCCGACATCAGAGACATCTCTTGTCCTGTCAGCTGATGTCTCCAGTGCTTCAGCAACCGATCAACGACTCTGGTCGACCTCACCCCCAGACGAGCAGCCAGACCAGCAGGACAGTCCAGCTGAGGTCCCGTCAGCTCCACCACCTGCTCCAGAGTGGAAATCCTGGCACTGCAGAACTTTCCGGACAGGCTCGGTCCAGCCCAGTCAGGAAGATGAAAACGACCTCCAAACAGTACAGGCTCTTTAAGCAGCCAGTACAAAGAGTGGGAGTGTCCCTGTCTCTGCCTGTTCACCAGACTCCACACGTTAAAAACACTTTGATAAAATCCAGTGACAGAGGAAATGTTCACTTGCTGTAAATCCATTAAAAACAGAGACGAGCTCAGCCCCAGTTCTCCAAACCGCTGTAGAAGACAGCAGGCCAGCGGTCTCCAGACCAGGTCTGCAGGCCCAGTGAGTAGTCTCTGGAGGAACTGCAGGCGGAGAGTAGCCCCCCTGCTGGCCAGGTGAACTAGTCCATGTCCTCCTTCCTCTTTAGGGAGGAAGAGCACACTCTGAGGAATCCAGTGTAACCTGTCCCAAAAGAAATCAACTAACACTCTTTGAATGTTACACAGGAGAGAGGACGGAGGGTCGATACAGGTCAGTCTGTGCCACAGGGCAGAGGAAACAAGATTATTGGCCACAAGTACACGACCTTTAAAAGACATCTTTGGCAACAGCCACCTCCATTTATCAAGACGTCCTTTTACTTTTTCTAAAACACCCTCCCAGTTTTTACTGACAAAGTTTCATTCCCCAAAAACACTCCCAAATATTTAAAACCTCCTGACTTCCAAAAGAGGCCTCCAGGCAGACTGAGCCGACCCCTCAGCTTCTCTCCCACCATCACTGCTTCACTTTTCAGCCAGTTCACTTTGGCAGAAGATATCGACCCAAACAAAATCACAGTTTCTTTTAAAACATCGATATCTCTCTGCTGTTGACAAAAACAATGACGTCATCAGCATACACTGACAATTTAAAACTGACTTCAGAGGCAGGAAAACGAACACCAGAGAGACCTGACCTCAGTCTGTGAAGCAGGGGTTCGATGGCTAAGGAATATAACATTCCAGATAATGAGCAGCCCTGCCTCACCCCCTCTGTACACTAAAAGGAGCACTCAGGCCTCCGTTGATCTTTAGCACACTCGCAATGTCACGGTACAAAACCTGGATCTTAGCTAAGAAACATGGGTTGAACCCAAAGGCGGTTAGAGTCCACCATAGATACTGGTGTTCATCCCGATCAAAAGCCTTTTCCTGGTCTAGTGAAATCAGACCAGTGTCTACAGCCAATGAACCAGAGACTTCCAAAACATGCCGAATAAGAGTGATGTTATCACTGATGAGCCTGCCGGGCACACAGTAGGTCTGGTCTGTGTGGATGATTGACCCCATCACCTGCCTTAGTCTGGATGCCAGGACCTTAGACAGGATTTTGTAGTCTGTGCAAAGTAATGACACTGGTCTCCAGTTCTTTAGATCCTGAAGGTCGCCTTTCTTTGGCAGCAGAGTGATGACTGCTCTCCTGCAGCTCAGAGGCAGACGACCCCTCTCCAAACTGTCTCTTAAAACCTCCAGGAGATCCTTCCCAGCACACTCCAAAACACTTTATAAAAGTCAACAGGAAGGCCATCAATACCTGGAGCTTTTCCATTCTGCAGACTCATGACAGCAGAGTAGAGTTCAGACAGAGACAGCTGGGCCTCAAGCTCTGTGTTGTTTTCAGCGCTGACTTGAGGAAGACCAGTGTAGAAAGACTCACACACCTCTGGACGATCAACAAGCTCACTCGTGTACAGATCCTTATAAAAACCAGCTGCATGTTTTCTGATCCCAGCAGAATCTGAGATCGATTGTCCACTGTTTGATCGTACAGAGTGAAAGATCTTCTTCTGTCCACTTTTCTTCTCCAGACCAAAAAAAACTGGACGCATCCATCTGGGTGACATCCAGGAACCAAGACCTGACCAGAGCCCCCTGTGCTTTAACGCCCAGCAGGTTGGCTAAAGCCGACTTTTTAGATTTTAGGGAAGCTAAATGTCCCTGATTTCCGGTGGCATCAACTAAACCCTGTAGTTCTACCACTTCAATCTCTAGATCTCTCAAAGATCTGCTAATGTCCCTGGTGACATTGCGAGTGTACTGCTGACACAACTGTTTAATCTGACTTTTTCCAAAGTCCCACCACTGCTGAATGGTTTTAAAATCAGACTTAAGCTGTCTGTGAGTGACCCAAAAGTACTCCAGTGCAGACTTAAAAGCTTTATCGTGCAGCAGTGTGGTGTTAAAATGCCAATACACACTTTGAAGTCTGACATTCTTAATAAATACAGAACAATAAACGAGACAGTGATCAGTGAAGCCTACAGGGACAATAAGACACTCTTTAAAAACATTCATGCTGTGTTTAAAACAATAAAAGGTGGCAGCATCGACCGGTACCGCGTCTGCAGCCGCAGCCGGCCCGGGGGTCACAGCAGACGGCCCGGGGGTCACAGCAGACGGCCCGGGGGTCACAGCAGCCGCCGTGACCTCAGCAGCCGGTGCTGCCTGAGCATTTCCCCGCACATGAACATTTTTTTCCGGGCATGAGCGGATTAAATGTCCCTCTCCACCACACCCAAAGCACTTCATGGTCGCTGATGTTGCGAACACCATGTAATTAAAACCATCGACTTTGAAATTAAAAGACAAATTAAGATCATCCGAATTGTTTTTCATGACCATGAAAACTTGTCTTCTGTGACAAACAACGTGTTTGAGCAGGGGGGACTTGCATCCCAGAGACACCATCTTAACCTGGGACACTACCTGCCCATACCTGCACAGCTCTTTAACTAACATTTCATTTTTAATGAACGGGGGGGGCGTTAGAGATGGTGACTCTTTTAGCCGGGTTGATCAGGGGGAGAACAGAGGTGAAAGTGTCCTTAATGACAACACCTTGTTCGACCACATCGTTCACTTTAGCCGTGCTATCTAAAAAAATAACCATGCCTGAGGCAGACCTCACGCTGCCGTAACCCACCACCTCTCCAACCGCTAAACTAGCCTCCTCCACCGAGCAGCTGACAGCCGGCACCAACTTCACTGCATGTCGGCGTGTCAGCTTCATGCTCCATGTCTACGACGGGCATGCTGCCCAGCCGAGCTGGTAGACAAACAACAACAAACTACTAAACACAAACTATGTTAAAGAAAGGAAGAAAAATAACACACAAACATTCAAAAGTTTGAAACTCACGACGAAGCTCACGTTGCCACTCACAATCCACTCAGAGAGAGAGAGAGAGAGAGAGAGAGACAGCGAGAGAGAGAGACAGGGAGAGAGAGACAGGGAGAGACAGAGAGAGAGAGAGAGAGAGACAGAGATTTTGATTTTTGCGAAACACTTTATTTACAAAAATTTAGTTTTTACAGTTCAACAAAGTGC